GCCCGCCGAGCTGCCTCCCGCTCGCTCAGCAGGTATGTGTCGATGAAGACGAAGAGCTCGTCGGGGTTGACGGGGGAGATGTAGCGCTCGCGGTCGGTGCCGGCCTTGTCCAGCAGCACCGCGTTGAAGTGGGAGCGGGTGAGGTGCAGGAACTGCCTGGGGGTACAGGAATTTGCCAGTCAGGGCCGAGGGGTTGCACTGGGCTGAGCATGCACACCTCATGTAACCATGCTCAGGTCCTCCTGGAGTGGGGGCTCCCACCTCTTCCTCAGGGCTGTGAGCTCTGGGGCGCTCTAGTGATGCTGCATTCAGACTTGCTGAAACCCATTGCAGAAACCACTCTGGTGCAGCAGGAAGGGGCTGTCCATGAACCCAGCTGCAACCTCATGCTTTGGCCGTCCCCAGAGGAGTCCCCATACCTGGTCCCCAAGCTCTGCAGGACAGCCCCCATCTCTCCTACCTGAGCTCCTCGATGATGCCAAGGGACAGCTGGTGCTCCCGAATGCGTCCCACCTCGTGTGGGGGCTGCCCCACCAGCTCAACGGTGGTGACGTGGCGCAGGTCTAGCCCGCAGGCAGCTTGCTGTGGAGGACAGGGGCACTGAGGGTGTGCCTGGGGGCAGCAGGAGGGGATGGGGGCAGCAGGAGGGTCTCCTCACCTGCAGCATGGAGATCTGCATCTTGTAGTAGCGGTTAGAGGGGTCAGGGGCCGAGATGACTAAGAGGCGACGTTTCTCGTGGAACTGATCCAGCAGGCTGGCAGCTGAGTTCACAGCTGTGTTGATCTGCATGGCTGGGACGAGAGACAAGTGTGTGTGGAGGTGCCATTGTGCCCCCCATCACCCCTTCACCCTACTGGGCAGCAATCCCCCCAAGTCCTGCCCTGCACCACTTACGTGCACAACGGGGTTGGGAGCCTGTCCACTGCTGGGTGGACTGGCAGACCCGCAGTGAGGTGCCCTGGCGCTCGAAGCCCCCATCACACAGGTACTCGCACGTGGCACCGTAGTTGTTGCCATCAGAAGTGCAGGAGATGTACCCGTTCTGCGGAGGCTTCAGGACAGCGCAGCGCCTGACTGCAAAGAGGGAGGCTGGGTGAGGTCTGGGAGTGACGGAGCACAGCCCCAGCTGTGGGGTATGGAACCTGGAGCTGGGGGGAAGCAGCCAGTAGCCCCAGGGGAGCCCACTCACCTTGGACGCGGACGCTGAACTTGCAGCTGGCTCGGTTGTACGCCTGGTCGTGGGCGGTGTAGCGGATCACATGCTCTCCTTCAGGGAATTCGGAGCCAGGCTCCGGGCCCCGCAGCATCACCCTGCACCTAGCAGACTGGTTTCTCCATCAGGGCGCCAGGCACGGCCCCCAACCTTCATCAGCAGTACCTGCAGCACTTCTGCCCTCACCTCTTAATGACACCATCAGCAGAGTCCTTCACTCGGGGAGGGTCCCAGTAGACGGTGGCAGTCAGCTTGCCTGGCTCGGCTATCCGCTCCCGAGAGTCTGGACAGCGGATCTTGGGAGGCTCCATATCTGCCCACAGGGAGGAGAGGGATTCGTGGAACCTGCAGGTATTTGGGCTGGGCTACAGGAGCACTGAACCACCCCAGGGATGCTGCGCACAGCCAAGGCACCTTGGAGACACTGGGACCTGCTTTAAAGCCAGCTCTGAGTGCCCCAATCCCGGATGGCACCTGTGCTTCAGGGCTGATGGCACCTTGGGGAGCAGCAGGGACAGGGCTCCCAAGGTAGCGAGGTGCAAGAGTTGGCAGGCTGGATGTGGGATAACACCTGCAGACACCCCAGGGATGGAGGGTGACAGGCCCCTGTGTGCCCCAGCAGTGCAGGGTGAGAATTTACCTACACAGATTGGCTCGCTCCCGCTCCAGCGCCCGTCCTCCATGCAGACACGGCTCCGGTCTCCCTCCAGCTGATAGCCAGGCAGGCAGGTGTAGTCACAGCGGGAATCCATCTGCACTCCAGCTGAGCACTCGTAGGAGCCCCGCAGCACCGCCGGCAGCACGTGGCACCGGATTTCTGGGACAGAGAGGGCAAAGAGGGGAGGGAAGTGACTGCCAGCTGTGCAAGGAGCGGGCAGAGCACCCAAGACTGGCCGCTGTGCTGGCAAGGCAAAGGCAGGCACACTCACGTCGGCAGTATGCCATCCCAGACCAGTGGCGGTTGGGCAGGCACAGGACAGAGCTGGGCCCCACCAGGCGGTACCCACGGGCACAGCTCAGCTCACAGCGTGTCCCCAGGCTGCTGCGGTAGGAGCTGCCCCGTGGTGAGTAGCAGGTGGCATCTCCACGGTGGATGTTGAGCGTGGCGCACCACTGGGGCACTGCAGGAGAAGAGGGAGGTGAGGAGACACTTGGCCGTGCCTCTGTTTCCCCATGAGGACAGAGGGTTGGGTTGGGTGCTGTTACCTCGGC